TCACTGTGGGGCATGTAGGAAGAGATGCTACCATCAAGGCAGCCCAACGACACTACTGGTGGCCAAGTATGACAGCCTGGATTGCAGACTATGTAGCAAGCTGTCCAGTATGTGCAAGGTACAAGGCTCCTCGACATCGTCCATATGGCTTGCTACAACCGCTCGCCACACCAGACAGGCCGTGGGGCTCCATATCACTCGACTTAATTGAAGGACTACCACCATCAAGGAAGTATGACTCCATCCTCGTCATTGTCAACAGACTGACCAAGTTTGCCATACTAGCTCCAACCTATAAGACAGTCACGGCCAAACAGACTGCAGTGCTGCTACATGGACACATGGTCAGACTCTTCGGCTATCCAGATCATATGGTCTCGGACCGAGGCAGGCAGTTCATCTCAGGAGCATGGAAGGCCTTTGCTGAGCAGATGGGGGTGAAGCACTCACTTAGCACGGCCTATCATCCCCAAACCGATGGACAGACGGAGAGGGTCAATCAGGTCGTAGAGCAGTACCTAAGGATGTACTGCAACTATGAGCAGGATGACTGGGCCGACCTGCTGGACACTGCAGCCTTCGTATACAACAACACGGTCCACAACAGCATTGGTGTCTCACCGTTCTTTGCATGCTATGGATGGAACCCCAAGGCCCATCCAGATATCCCTCAACGGCTAGGAGTACACGACCCAGATCTCTTCGAGTACCTCATCGATGGGAAGGAACGTTGTAAGTACCTTCAGGAGCAGATCAGGGAGGCACAGCGTCGGACAGTAGACCAGTATAACAGGAAGCACAAGGACATCGAGTTCAAGGTGGGTGATATGGTATACATCAACTGCCGGAACTGGAAGACACGGCGACCCACCCTGAAGCTAGATACCCGGTTTGCAGGACCATACCCGATCCAGGAACGGGTAGGACGCAGAGCTTATCGAATCACATTGCCAGCAAACCTTAGGGTTCATGATGTGTTCCATGTCTCTATGCTTGAGCCAGCAAGAACAAGCTCACTTGCTCAACGGGCAGAACAGCCTACCATACCATCACTTCCAGATGAGGACCTCGATTTCGAAGTTGAAGCACTCATCAACAAGCATTCACACCATGGGGTTACAGAGTACAAAGTGCTCTGGAGAGGGTACTCAGAGGAAGCTGCTTCATGGGAACCAGTCTCGAACCTCAACTGCCCCGACCTCATCCAGGAGTATGAGGTGTCAGAGGGGGGACGAACAAGCAGAAGAAGGAGTAGTGAGCAGGAGGAGTAGAGAGGTGGAGATTGTCATAGGCCTGAGTACACAGGTAGCATGGAGGCTGTTGGTTCATAGGGGAGGAGCACAGGTACCAAGGCTCGGGTCACAGAAGAAGACCACCATAGCAGGTCTAGGGATGGTCGAGCAAGAGGCCAGAGGCCTAGCTGGTACCGGTAGCAGGCATGGTCGGAGTGCAACCTCCATGGAGACCATGGACATGGAGACCATGGACATGGAGACCATGGACATGGAGACCATGGACATGGAGGACCGGGCCGTATGCATGGAGGTCCAAGCACCGCCACAAGGAGGACCGAGCTCAAGGAGCATACAGATGGTTACCACTCAGGGGCTCGAGAGACAAGAGTCAAAGGAACCATCACCAGTCAAAGAGAAGGAGCAGTGTATAGGAAACCGGCAAGTAGGTCCTGAGGAGGAGGAGCAGTGTCGAAGGAGGCGACACAGCTCAGGAGGACAGGAGTGGCGCTAGAGGGCCCCCCTGCGCAGTACTCGATGAAGAAGGTACTCTCTGGAGAGAGAGCAGGAGCAGCGTCACTGGTGACGCTGTGAAGAGGTATATAACCATACCTTCTCATCATCAAAGGTCGAGTGGATCCTCATCCACTCTACACACACACCATATAAACTAGTTATCACTTCAGCATAAGTATACATTAGTTTCAGTCAGCATAGCAGCAATCTATCAAGGTTGCTCCTCATCGTAGTGTGTGTGTTGTATCACCACTACCTGATGTCCGAAGGCGACCCATAGCAGGTCAGCGGTCCGGATATAGATAGAACCGAAGGCAGTAGTCCACTGCGGTCCGGGGATCACTACAAGCATTAGTCAGCACACTGGACACTCGTGTTGACGCCACCGAATTACCACCAACGCCACCAGCGTTATCACCAACACCATCAACCTCATTATCATCAACACTCACACCAGACCTTGGTGTCATCATAACCTACGCATTGATATCGATCGTGCCAAGCCACCTCTGAACAGAGTGTCCACAGAGGTCAGCCGAAACCTACGATAGTATATACAATGGACGCCACCCGCTGTCCTCACGCAGCTTGATAGTCACCGAGTATCTCGGCAGACCGACCTGGGTTTCAGGCGCGAGACCTCTGACACCAGCCTCAGTGCTGATGCTGACACCATTCAGTGTCTTGGCCGATGGAACTCTGACTGCTTCCAGCGCTACATTGACTGCTCGGCAACAGACTGTCGGGACCTCTCCATCACTGCCCTCTACCATCTTTGGGATGGTCTGCTCATCCCCCATACTGCCTCATGGCGCAATGTGGGTTCTTCCTATGCCTCTCCAGTTGGCCCTATCCCTGTCGAGACCACTCTCTGCTGTGCAGGTGGCTCGGCCTTTGGCTGGCGGGCTGGGAGCCTTTGAGCCAGCGAGCCACCTCGCTGACAGGCAATCTAACAGGACCTCCATATTGTCTTGTGCATCAAACTGACTGAGCCTCATCTTACGGCCGTGTGAGCCAGGCTGGGATGCTCAGTTGCTCAGTTGCCGAGGGGAACAGTGAAAGCATATGACCTCTACTCCGAGCATGCAACTTCGACTCCAACCCCACACATATGCTGACTTTGCTTACTCGGGTCCACACACACTACGAGTGAGCAGAGTTGGGGGAGTGGTGGCTAATAGATAGCCGAGACAGTAGCTGTGTAACCGTATAGACAGGATGCCGGAGGTGATACTTGGGATCATTGACATTTGACGCACGCATTTCAGCAGGTTTTGATGGAGATGAGCACGGCAAGAGCGGTTTTTTGAGAGAGTCATAAGGAGAGGGGGGTTGGTTGCAGCTTAAGAGGAGGAGGGGGTTGGAAAGGGATGATGACAAGTGTCAATTGCGATGGTAGTGATGAACCAAGTACATGGTGATTCGTATGTATATATATGTGTGTGTGTGTGTGTGTCTCGCAGGATTGTATGTAAGCGTGTATGTTATGTCTGCTACGGCTGGGCGGGAGTTGAGGTGAGCAGGTGTCCATCTGTCTCGCTGTTGGCTTGGCGGGTTGGGTTGGGCGTGGTTAGAGGAGATTGCGTCGTGGCGTGGGAGGAGGAGGATGAGGCGGTTGTGGCGATCTTTGCTTTTTGAACGAGCTCGTCGAATTGAGACTTGTTCGATTTCTGCTGCACGACAGGAGGATGGGGAAAGAAAGAGCTCAGCGTTAACCCTTTCCCACTACGTCGTCAGCATGTTGGCTTGGGAATGCGGGAGAAACTTACGACCCAGGTCGACTTGTGCCGGTCAACAAGCACAGAATGATCCTTTGCCGAAGCTTTGGTACGTTCCCAAGCGGCCAACTCTTGCCTGAGCTGTGGTAGGCTGCGTCTAGCATTTGTAGAATCGAGGTTGGCGTTCCAAATGTTAACCCACTGTCGATGTCGTTGAACCATCTTTTCTCTGTCGCCGTTGGTGGGTAGGGATGCATCTTGGAGGAGCTTGCGAAGTTCTCGTTCGGATTTCAGGTTGTATTGCGGTCGGACGAGTCGCTTTTCGTTGGCTGCATCTGAACTGGCTGAAATGGAAGAGCAGCGGGGTTGGGTGAACCAAGAGCAGGTGGACTTGGTGGTGGTGGTGGTGGATGCAAGACCTCGTTCTTGTGGAGATGGTTGGAGAAAGCCGGGATAGCAGTTGGCGCTGTCGAGGTGACGATTGAGAGCGGTGAGGGTGAATTTGTGGGTGCAGATAGGACATTCCACCAAGTGATCCGTTTTGAGTTGCAGATCCGAGGCTCGCCCGGTGGCATCTTGGAGGCTTGGGCTTGGGCTTGGACTGGAGCCGAACGCGCTTGGATCTGCATCGTGCTCAGGATGGGTGTTATGTATGAGATCCTGCTCTTGGTCGTCATGGATGGGAAGAGGGTGCGAGTTGCAAAGGTCTGGTTTGATACGCTTGGATCTGCGTGGACTGGAGCTGCGGTTGTGCTGAGATGGAGGCCGCTTGGATGAGGACTCGGTTTGGGGTGGGCAAGATTGTTTATGGCGTGTTGGGTGGGGGTGGTGGTGATGCGATTGCAGGCGAGCGAGGAAGGAGCGCGATCTCTTCCATTCCAGAGCTGTGATTTCGAGCAGGGGCTGCGGTATCAACTCGGAGTCGTACGCCTTTGTCTGCCTGCACTTGGGACAGAAGCTACCGCCATTGCCGGATTGATTGATGTGGGTGCGAATGCAGGTGGAGCAGAAGGCGTGGTGGCAGCTCTTTATCGAGACTGGCGATGTATAGATGTCCTGGCCAGTCCATTGGCACCGAGTGAGGAGCAAGGTTGCATTGTCAGCGCAGAGCAACAAAGCAAAGCTCAGAGGGAGGCAGGCGGGTTCAAGTGGCAGTAGGACCTACAAAGCAAAGATCGCAACGAAGAGAAGCATCGAGGTTGCGGAGAACAGTAAAGTCCTCTTTCCAATCGGATGGGTCGGTGACATGGTCCATGAGATGAGCTACAGTCGCCTGCATCGTAGTCCAGTTTTCGAGGCGATGGGATGGGAGTCCTGGGATGGGAGTCCTGGGATGGGAGTCCTGGGATGGGAGTCCTGGGTGGGATCGAGCAAGGAGCAATCAAGGGCAGCTGATGCGCAATGATCGAGTGAAGAAAGAGGAGAAAGTCAGAGTGGCGATAGTATGAGTGGCGAAAGAGACCAAAAGAAGGTGTTTTAGGGTTACTGCTTTGATACCTATAAAACAGCATTATTGCAGATAGCGCATTCAACGGGTTTCGTGGCGCAGTTGGTTAGCGCGTCTCCTTAACAGTTTCCATCTGCTTTCGGAGGAGGTCGCCGGTTCGAACCCGGCTGAAATCATTTTTTTTTATTTGAGGGTAAACCCCCGTATCTCCCAGGGACGAAAGAAAAGAAAAGAAAAAAGAAAATGCTTTTTCTCTCTCTGTAATTGGGATTAGTAAGCAGGCTTTGGTGTTTCGCTTTCAGAAGGAAGGCAGAAGGTGTAGATCTAACAACAGGTGCTTCTGTTTATTCTCAAAGGAAAAATTCGAGTTGGAGATGTTTTATCGTGCGAATAGTTTTATCGTCCGAATAAACTGATGGCGACGAGACCTCTTTCCTCTCGTCGTCGCCATCATCATCCTTACCACCATCATCCTTACCACCATCATCATCCTTTCCAAAAACACACACATTACACATTACACATTACATATTACACTATACGGGGGCGGTGTATTCTCCATCATGCCATATCCCATTTAGCATTCCCCACCATCGCGCACGCATCAGACAGCCCTCTTGATTGTCTTGCTTTCGTCATCCAGCATTCTCCTCGATATCACCGCTGCACCATGTCCGCCACCCAAGAGTCCATCGAGCCAGAGCTTGACGCTAGCTCTCCATCGCCACCCGAAAACACACAAGATCCACGCCGTCACTCTTCGCCCCTCTCTGGTCTCTCTGACGTCTCTCAAGTTCACTCGGCAAACAAGGAGCAATCTCTCGACCAGCACCACCAAAACCACCACCAAAACCACCACCACCACCACCACCACAACAACAACAACAACCACAACAATGTGACCACCGACCAAGATGACCTCGATGACCACAAGCCGCCGATGATGATGCATCAGCAGCTTGATCGCCTAAAGGCTACAGCCTCCTCTCGCAACAGCACTGCCTCTCGCAACAGCTCTGCCTCTCGCTCCTCGATCAAGCCCGACCGCAGACATCTCCTTGAAGCTCAAAACGACCCAGATCTCTACGGCTTGAGAAGATCCGGACGCGCTGGTAGGAGATCCTACACCGATCTGGATGCCGACTCGGACGACCCAGAGGCCTCGCTATCATCAAGACGCCGCCATCTGGTCAAAGGCAGCAGAGTCTCTCTTCGCAGCTCCGTGCAGCCCAGCGACGATGATGATGACGAGCAGAGCGACGACCCCGACGACGACGACGACGACGACGACCAGGACCAGGACTTTGGTCCTCCCAAGTCCAAGAGCAAGCGCAAAGCAAAGCGCTCCGCTGCTTCCCGTCTCTCTTCCACCGACCTCGAAGCGTCTCGCGTCTCCAGCAGGAACGGCAAGCGCATCCCCAACTACACCGACGACTACGCCGACCTTGGTGATGAGGATCCCTTCGAGGACCAGGCTGATACCCAAGCCCAGAGGTACGCTCAACAGCCTCCAGACATCCAAGACCAAGACGACGTCATCGAGAGCATCCTCGGTCACGAGCGACACGAAGATCACCTCGACGACAGCGAGGACATCCCAACGCAAAACATGCGCTTCATCGTCAAGTGGAAGCGTTACTCGCACCTTCACGACACCCACGAGACCTACGACTTTTTGAAGCCTTACCCTGGCTTCAAGCGCGTCGACAACTACATCAAGTCCGTCTTCTACCCCGAAAAGGCGCTCCTTTCCGACCCCAATGCTTCCCGCGAGGACATCGAAGCCCTTCAGATCGAAAAGGAACGACAGGCCGAACTCATTCAGAGCTTCAAGACGGTCGAACGTGTCATTGCCCAGCGCGACAACCATGCCAACAAGGAAGTGCCCTATCCACATCTCGCTTACCTCGTCAAGTGGAAGGGTTTGCCCTACGCCGACTGTACCTGGGAAGCCGAGCAAGAGATCAAGCACATTGCTCAACACGCCATCGCCGCTTACCTCGCCCGATCCAGCTCGCTCACCCTCCCTTGGCGTTCCCAGAACTTTTCTCAGGGCCGTCCCAAGTATACGCGCATGACCGAGCAGCCCGCCTACATCAACTCGGGAACCCTGAAGGACTTCCAGATGACCGGTCTCAACTGGCTAGCCTACCTCTGGAGTAAGAACGAGAACGGCATCCTCGCCGACGAGATGGGTCTCGGCAAGACCGTTCAGACCGTCTCCTTCCTCTCTTACCTCTTCCATTCCTGCTACCAGTACGGCCCCTTCCTCGTCGTTGTGCCCCTCTCCACGCTGCCCGCATGGATGAGCCAGTTGGAGCATTGGGCTCCCGACCTCAACGCTCTCGCTTACATTGGCAACAGCGCCAGTCGAGCCATGATCCGAGAGTACGAGTTCGGCCCTGCCAAAAAGATCAAGTTCAACGTCCTCGTCACCACCTACGAGTTCATTCTCAAGGACCGCGCAGAGCTCGGTCACATCAGATGGCAGTACCTCGCCGTCGACGAAGCTCATCGTCTCAAAAACTCTGAAGCCCAACTGTACGAGGCGCTCAACAGCTTCCATGCTGCCGGCAAGCTGCTCATCACCGGTACGCCCTTGCAGAACAACGTCAAGGAACTCATCGCTCTCCTCCACTTTTTGCGACCGGACCAATTCGACCTCGACGTCGATTTCGACATCAACAACGTCGACCAGGCCGTCATCAAGCAACTCCACCAGAAGCTCGACAACGTCATGCTTCGCCGTCTTAAGAAGGACGTCGTCAAGGAGCTCCCCACCAAGTCCGAAAAGATCCTTCGTGTCGAGATGTCGGCCATGCAACAGCGCATGTACAAGGCCATCCTCACGCGAAACTATTCGCTCCTCAGCGGCGCCACCACTGCTCAGTTCTCGCTGCTCAACATTGCCATCGAACTCAAAAAGGCCTCCAACCACCCTTACCTCTTTGACGGAACCGAGATCATCTCGGACAACCGCCAAGACACGCTCAAGGGTCTCGTCATGCACAGTGGCAAGATGGTCTTGCTCGACAAGCTGCTTGCACGTCTCAAGGCCGATGGACATCGTGTTCTCATCTTCAGTCAGATGGTGCGCATGCTCGACATCCTTTCCGACTACATGTCCCTCCGCGGTTACATTCACCAGAGGCTCGATGGAACCATCTCCTCCGAGGTCCGAAAGAAGGCCATCGAACACTTCAACGCCGACCGCTCGCCCGACTTTGCCTTTTTGCTTTCCACCAGGGCCGGCGGTCTGGGCATCAACCTCGAGACCGCCGACACGGTCATCATCTTTGACAGCGATTGGAACCCGCAAAACGACCTGCAGGCCATGGCACGAGCGCATCGACTCAACTCCAAGTTCCACGTCAGCGTCTTCCGACTGCTCACCAAGGACACCGTGGAGGAGGATGTGCTCGAGAGAGCCAAGCGCAAGATGGTGCTCGAGTATGCCATCATCCACCAGATGGACACTTCAGGAACCAACTTTGCGCCCAAAGCCTCTGCCAAGAACCAACAGCAGTTCAGCAAAGAGGAGCTCGGAGCTATCCTCAAGTTTGGCGCTCAAAACATGTTCAAGAGCGACAACGAAGACGGTCAGCAGAAGAAGCTTGACGAGATGGACCTCGACGATATCCTCTCGCATGCAGAGGCCCACGAGACCGAGGTAGACCCAACAGGCAGCTCTGCCGGTGGTCAAGACTTTCTCAAGTCCTTCGCCCAAGTGCAAGACTTCAAGGCCGACGTCAGCTGGGACGACATTATCCCTCTGGAAGAGCGTCAGAAGGTCGAGCAAGAGCAACGCAACAAGGCCGTCGAGGAAGCTGCTGCTGCTGCTGCTGCCGGCTCTTCGCGAAGACGTGCTGCCGCGCAGGTGGCTCCAGGTGCCTATGATAACGGCCAAGCTGATGACCAAGCCGATTCGCCAGGCGGCGGCGCCAAGGACGCTGCCAGTAAGCGTGCGCGAAAGACAGCCGCTCAGCGCTCGATGGAGATGAAGGAACGTGACCTGCGTGTCCTCATCCGTGGTATCCAACGATGGGGCGATATCCGCTACAAGACGGATCCCATCATCAAGGAAGGCAAGCTGCAGGACAAGAACCGGCAGGTGCTCTATCAGATCTCGGACGAGCTGGTCAAGAGGTGCGAAGATGCCGTCGCTGAACACCAGGCCTTCATGAAGGGCAAGCAGGAGCGTGGTGAAGAGATCTCCTCCGCCCTCCGTCAAAAGGCAGTACTCGTATCTTGCCGTGGCATCACCGCTATCAATGCCGAGACGGTGCTCATCCGACACTACGACTTGCGCCTTCTTGCCGAGACGCTGGACAATGTCGAGGATCCACTTGAGTGGCGTGTCCCTTCTGAGCATCTCAAGGCGACACTCAACTGGGCTGGTGGATGGGATGCGACCGACGATGCCATGTTGCTTGTCGGCATCTGGAAGTACGGCTTTGGTGCATGGGAGCAGATCGAGGCCGATCCTGATCTCAACATGGCCGGCAAGTTCTTCTTGGAGGAGGGTAAAAAAGCCAACCAGGAGCCTCACACAGTTGAAAAGGATGCACCCAAGAGCGGCACTTCAGGCCCTCCTCAGGGCAAACCTCGACCGATTCCAAACGCGATCCACCTTGTCCGTCGTGGAGACTACCTGCTCAAAGTGCTGCGCGAGTACGACGACAATGCCAAAGCGTACCAGAAGAGCTTGACCGACGCAGGCGGGAGCAAAGCCGGCAAGAAGGTGCGGAAGAGCACTTCGCCAACTCACTCGCCTGCTCCAACTGGCAAAGCGGGACGTGGTGGCGCAGGAGCAGGAGCAGCAGCAGCAGCAGCAGACAAGAAACGACCTGCGCCGGCCTACTCGTCGGATTCGTCGGATGAGAGCGAGTACTCGAGTATGGACGAGGCGGAATGCAAAGAGCTGATGCGACCCTGCAAGAAGCAACTCAAGAGGTTACGAGACGGCACGGATCATCTGGAGCGTGACCAGAAGGTGTCTGTCCTCAAAGACTGCCTGTCTGCAATCGGAGGCCATATTGACCATCTACTGGAGACCAAGTTCGCAAGCTTGTCGGCCAAGGACAAGGATCGATGGTTCCACCACCTTTGGGCCTTTTCTGCATTCTTCTGGCCAAAGAAGGTCAAGCCGTCGAAGCTAAGGGCCATCTTTAACAAG